TCTTCCGATAAAGCACTCGCAAACCGAGGTTTATTCCATAGGCCTACAACTTACTTCATCCGCATGACGATATGGATAAACCAATTACCCAACAAAGTGAACTCTGTGTAGTGTAACTGTGTAATTATAAACAGCCAGAGAGTGGGAGACAAAAATCCTCCTAAGAACACAGGTTTCAGTTTCCCCATAGGTTACTACAAGAAGCTACAATGACAAATACATTCCTTTGCATTGTTCATCCTCCTTAGTCCTATTGTTCATCCTCCTTAGTCCTTACTAACGAACTAGAAAGGCAGAGAACAATAGGGAATCACCTCGAATTCTTCTCAAAAGCGCATATTGGATTAAAACGAATCGAGTTACTGATTCTTGGTTCGTTATATTCCGACAAAAAACAGGACATGTTAATGGCATTACCTTTCTCATCCTTGTCCGAGCTTCTGACTTCTTGGATTTATTATAAAGACGCCTTTTTTCGGCCTGTCGAGCTCTCTTCGCAGCGGAATCAGCCTTCTTCTTTGGAGCAGCTTCGCATACAATTGACTTCCTCATTGGCTTCTGTACCCACAAATTCCCTGAAAATATATCCCCGGAAGTTCAAAACTTATCCAAAACCCTAAAAATTCCCGCCGGAGTAACATCAGGGCACGCATCAAAATTGTGAAAAATTCGAAATTTCCCACAAACACGAACGCAATCGAAGGATATGAAAAATGGGTTTACCGGAGGAGAAGGCAACACAGTGAGAGACACTGGTGGAGAAGCTAAGATTGGAGCTGCACGAGACTGACGAACAGGGACGAGCGAAGAAGGAAAGAGGCGAAGAAGATGCTTGAAGCGAAAGGGCTCTGAAGTTGGAATTGAGGGCCGCGCACGAAGAAAGACACTGCACCATTGTTGCCATAGATATGTACTTGATGGTTTCTTATCCAACTCTGCTAGTAGAAAACTATCGCTGCTCCGATGCTCTTCCATTGCACCCTCCTGTTAACTTATCCGAAATGAGATGACGACTCCGTGAATTTCCATTTTTATCCCTGTATATAGGATTAATCACATCTGTGCCCTTGTCCCCCAGTTTGCGCTTGTATCCCACTATATTTTTAAATTTAATAAATGATCTGATTTCCTATAAATTTTATAACGTAACCTTAGTAATATAAATTAAGATCTAGATTAAATTATAATACATTTATTTTTTAAAATCATTTAAGAAAACAAATATCCTTTTTTATAGCATACGAAAATCCCAACATAGGCAGTGTGCTAGCTTTAACAACCTGAAGAAATATAAGCAAAAAACACAGAAGAAAGAAACAAAGAACAAGAGAAGTAGTTTTAAGTTTAGTGGTTAAAGGCAGATTTGTTGTCTTAGTTAGACATCAAAATCCTTCAGCTGTCATCACTTCAGGTCGAGCTTCTCTATGATTCTTAGACAGATACGGTCCACTTCTCACGGCTTCCTGCAACTGCATATCCAAAACCCGTCATTTTCTCGTTCTAAAGATGATTTTGAGTTTATGGGTTACTGAAAAATCGAACCTTTTCTGTTGGGTTACTGAAAAATCGAACCTTTTCGGCTATGTGATTTGAGTTTATGGGTGACTGAAAAATCGTAACTTTTTCGATAATATGATTTGAGTTCATGGGTGACTGAAAAATCAAACCTTTTCAACGGTTTTCGCACGAAGAGGATCGTTTATGAATCTACTGGACACGAAAGCCTCGAGAATCGCCTTGCAACAGTTATACCTAGCTTCCATGCCTGGATATGTTTTAGGTTCATTTCAACATGAGATTAAGGCTTAAAGATCAGAAAACCTGAAGAGGGAACCTCCTCCTGTTGTTGATGATTTAGAATCTAGTGACAGGTGGTGAGGATTTACCTATTTTCGAAGTTTCAGTGGTCGAGTCTGTCACTGTGTTTATTATCTCTTCTTTGGACAAGATTTCCACCAGGCACCACGGCCGAGCTACCAGTGCCGTGAATGTTCTATAACCCTGCAAAAAGATTCCAAAAACAACATAGAAATGTCATATTTTGTTCGATGTAATATCAACCAAAAGCAAATGGAGTATCCTAAATGACTCGATGAACAGGGAA